TTCCTATGCCTGCTTGGACGCGGTGATCTCGGCGTCTTTACTCTGCCGCCATCTTCCGGAAGTCCAGAAATCTTTTATACTCAGTTTTACTTCATGATAAAATATTTCAAAAATACTTAGATTCAAAATAAAGTGTAGAAAATGTAGGTATATTCAAAGAAATCAAACTTCTTTCCCCTCTATCCCTATAGATAACCAGTCTTCACCCAATAGGTAACCATTTATTAAAGTTTATTCCTTCCATTAGTTTATACAATATGGGTTTTATACACACACACACACACATAGAGTTTTATGTATTTGTTTTCTTCCTTAGAAAAATGGTGGGCTACTATGCACACTATTAATCACCTTTTTTCACTTCATAGTCAAGAACATGTTAAATACATCAAATCTTTTTTATAATAATGTGTTTGCACTTTAAAACCATAGTAGTAGTTGTTATAGTAAATCTTTGAATGTACTTCTATAAGCTAGCATGCCGTGTTATAAGAAATTTAATCCTCTCATACACATATGATGGGCACTGTTACAATTCCTGTTTGCCAGGTGGGAAAGTAAAATACAAGTAGCTTAGAGAACATGCCAATGCTCACAGAGCATCCAAAATGCTAAGCCAGGATCTGACCCTAGGCTAGAGAGCCCATGACCTCGTGTGCTTACTGTGTAAGCGGGCACACATTCAGTAGCTCCTTGGTGGAGCTTGGTGCCCATCAAAGGTATTTCGTGAAGCTTTTCCTATGATCCTGACCATCACTCATGGCTGAAGAACTAGTGTTTTGCTACTAAAAGAAAGGAAATCTTAGAAGGAGGAACCACAGCTGCACAAGCCATTTTAAAATTCAGTATTCCTATCATAAATGTCATTATTTAATTTAAGTGGCACTATGAATAGTTATTGTATGCTTCTTTCAAATTTTCTATGTGTTTGAAACTTTCATATTATCAAATTTTAGGAAAGGGTGAGAAGAAAAATGAACTATAAAAATGATAAAAACTCAGCATATGATTTTTGAATCATAGTGTTATAAACTAATGTTACTCATTTTTAAAATTATATAAATAAAAAAACTCAATGTATATGCTAAAAGCTTACCATATTTTATTGACTTCAAACAACCATCCATTTTCAGACACACCACTAAGACAAATTGCTACCAATTAATGACATGATATTGAATGTAGGGTACATCTGGATTCCGAGATGTTAAAATATAAATAAAATACATCTTGCTATTAAAATATGGTATATGAAATTCAAGGTTTATAATTTTAACTCTCTAAATAAGTACTACAGGTGACCAACTACTTTAGAAGTTAATGACAGTTATATAGGAAGATTAGAGTAGCTTTCTTGAAAAGACTGCACTGCTTCTTGAAAGTGAACTAGTTTCTTAATATAGCAAAATATGGATTGAGCTGTGTGGGTGACAACATGAAGAAAGATTTGTAGTTATTAGCACACAGTTTTTTTTTTTATTTTACAAAAGTTTATTTTTACATCATTTTGTACATTTTTTTCCCATCTCAATTGTAATCCCCACGGGTTTCCCATCACCAAGTCACCCATGTGCCATCACCATAATCCCGTGCATTTCCCTCCCCACTCCCCCCCCCATTATTAGCACACAGTTTTAATGGAAATAGCGTAAACTAGGGCAGAAGATGATGTTGAGAAACTGAATGCAAGCTTGGATGAATAAATAGTTGAATCCAGATTGGACAAAGATTTATATTTTTTCTTTGTTTTTGTTAGGGTAATTAGTCTAAAATTTTCTCTCATTTCAGTAAGAATATGGATTCAGGGTTATAAGATTTGAGTCCATAAATTACATTTGTTACACTTCTACCTAGGTCGATGGACTTAGGTACAGTTAAGAGTAGTTAAGAGTTCATATGATAAATGAAGATAAATGGGTATAAGATTCCCCCAAATTGATTGAGATGTCAGGAAAAGATGGTTCATGCTAAACAAAAGGCTAACAGAAGTTTAGCAAAAGAATGGGATTTTATAACCAAGATTCTCTCTCTAAGGAACTCTGATAAAATGAGATAGAGTATCAGGTTTTATATGGCAAGACATTTCTAAAGATGGTCCATTTCATAATGTCAAGCTATAAAGATGACTTATTGTACTTTTTTCTAGAAGAACCCTGCCAAGTTGATGAACAGATTGAGAGACAGTGCCCGAATGACCAAAATAAATACTTGTTGATGCAAATTGGATTCCCAGACAAGAATATAATAACCTCCACCAAGAGTAGCTATCAGTATAATGAATTTGGGAACACACTTCATCTGAATACAAACCTTATTGCATCCATACAAAGACCCCACAGATATGAATCTTTTGGAAATAATATGGTAGAGAATTTAGACTTATTTGGTAGAAGCTCTGCAGGAAAGAAATATGATAGTGGATGTGCAAAATCATTCTTCCATACTGAGTATGAGAAAACAAATCCTGGAGTGAAACCCTATGGCTATCGAGAGTGTGGGAAATCTCTCAAGCGCAAGAAAGGTCTCAGTCTACATCAGAGAATTAAAAATGGAGAGAAACCCTTTGAATGTACTACATGTAGGAAAACCTTCAGCAAGAAGTCACACCTCATTGTACACTGGAGAACTCATACGGGAGAGAAACCGTTTGGATGTACTGAATGTGGAAAAGCCTTTAGCCAGAAATCTCAGCTCATTATACACCTGAGAACTCACACAGGAGAGCGACCTTTCGAGTGTCCTGAATGTGGAAAAGCCTTCAGAGAAAAGTCAACAGTCATCATACATTACAGGACTCATACAGGAGAGAAACCTTATGAATGTAATGAATGTGGAAAAGCCTTCACTCAAAAGTCAAACCTCATTGTCCATCAGAAGACCCACACAGGTGAGAAAACTTATGAATGCACTAAATGTGGGGAATCTTTTATACAGAAGCTTGATCTAATTATACATCATAGTACCCATACAGGAAAAAAACCTCATGAATGTAATGAGTGTAAGAAAACTTTCAGTGATAAGTCCACTCTCATTATACATCAAAGAACACACACAGGAGAGAAACCTCACAAATGTTCCGAATGTGGGAAGTCTTTCAATGAGAAGTCAACCCTCATCGTGCATCAGAGAACTCATACAGGAGAGAAACCCTATGAATGTGATGTGTGTGGAAAAACCTTTACTCAAAAGTCAAACCTAGGTGTACATCAGAGAACTCATTCCGGAGAGAAACCCTTTGAATGTAATGAATGTGAGAAAGCATTCTCTCAGAAATCCTATCTCATGCTGCACCAGAGAGGTCATACAGGAGAGAAGCCCTATGAATGCAATGAATGTGAAAAAGCGTTTTCCCAGAAATCATATCTCATTATACATCAAAGAACTCATACAGAAGAAAAACCCTATAAATGTAATGAATGTGGCAAAGCCTTTAGAGAAAAGTCAAAGCTTATTATTCATCAGAGAATTCACACAGGAGAGAAGCCCTATGAATGCCCTGTATGTTGGAAAGCTTTTAGCCAGAAATCACAGCTCATAATCCATCAAAGAACACACACAGGAGAGAAACCCTATGCATGCACTGAGTGTGGCAAAGCCTTCAGAGAAAAGTCAACTTTCACCGTACATCAAAGAACTCACACTGGAGAGAAACCCTATAAGTGTACAGAATGTGGGAAAGCTTTTACCCAAAAATCAAACCTTATTGTACATCAGCGAACACATTCAGGAAAGAAAGCCCATGGGAAAGGCCACACCCGGAAGTCAAAGCTCCTCACACACTAGAGAGTAAATCAGCTGTGCCTGCAGTGTATACTGAAGGAAAGTTTTTGTTAGTTAATTTCTTTTTGTCAGTTAATATTTTTAAAGTATGTTCTGATTCTGTTTAAAATATGGGAGTAAAGTTAGCATTTTTTCTCCCTCTTCATCTCAGTATTTACCCAAAATCTACAGGGAGAAGAAGAAGTATAATCTCTGTATATAACAAAAAAGAGCTCACTGAAACACTGATGAGTGGACTTTTAGAGGCAGAAGAAATCAAGCACCAGTGCAAGACCACAGAGCACTGAAGGCTGCAGATGTGAGGCAGCACTGGTGAGGACTCTTAGCTGAGGTTCAGATGCAAGACCATACATATGTGTACACAGCAACAGTGACAGAGGGCATGGGCAGGGGGAGGTAAGAGGTTTCGTAGTCCCATTTGACCTGAGGAGAGAAGTGTCAGGCCCTCAACGAGGAATCACTCGTACAAGCCATATTTGCAGAGGTAGTTTCTTCTCATGGAAGGGGGACTTGATAGGGGCTGGGACAAGTGAAAGGAAAGTTCATTGTGAAGAACCCTATACAGCTGCCCCTGTTTACTGACTCTGGAGAAATCAAATCTGGAAAAACTACCAAAAAAGAAGGGAAAATTCCAGTGGCAAGAAACACTCTAATCTGCCCAGAATGTGGCCCTAATTTCTTCCCCCACATGAGCCTCCTGCAAACAAGTCCAGGAAAAACTCATTCAAAGAGTAATGATTCCAACATAATCAAAATACACAGCTTTTGAGCCAGCCATTCCACATAAGGAAATGTATAGCCTCATGCATGTACAAATCGATGAACACAGAGGCATGCACTGATGCGCTGTTTGTGAAAACAAAAGATTGGAAGCTGTCCAAAAGACAAACCCGGGATCTGGTTCCCAAAATCCTGGTACATTCATACAACAAACTCCTGTCTAGACAAAATGAGTAAAAATGTAATCTGGACACCACTTGTGTAGTGATGTGGGATCATCTCCAACATACATTAGAAGAGAAAACAAGATTCAGGATAGTGAGTGTAATATGCTACCGTTTGTACATAGAAAGGAGAACAAATGGATAAAACATATTGAGTGTATATGCATAAACTATCTCTGGAAAGATACACAAGAAGTTGGGGCCCTGGTTATCTCTGGGAAAGGATAAGGGAAGTGGGTGGCTGGGGGAATGGAGTTGGAAGGAGACAGCTGTATAACTTTTGAAAATTGTTCTATGTTGATGAATACCTTTTCAATAAATTTTTTTAAGTTTATTTTGCTCTATTACTACTATAATGAAGTCAAGATTCTAGATAGAGGATTTCATAACATTTAATAAATATACCCTCTGTGGAGTCTTATTTTTGAGTGAATAAATTGAGTCATCAGACAGAACAACAGATACCCACTCAGCTCCAAAGTACAAAGGCATTGCTGTCCTGGAGGTGTCAAGTAAAGTAATTCTCAGGTCAGTTGGGACCACATTGTGTAAACCTAAAGTAATTGAGACCGGAACACATAGCTTATTTAGTGTGTACAGCACAACTGAAAAGACTTGCACTAAAGCTCATCATTGTCTTTATATATCTGGAAATGATTTAAATTACTTTGTGTGTGTGTGTGTGAGTGTGTGTATGCACACACACGTGTGCATGTGTACAGTTGACTCTTGAATAACACGAGTATAAACTGCACAAGCCCACTAATGTATGAGTTCTTTTCAGTACAGTACAGTAAGTAAATACATTTTCCTGATAACATTGTCTCTCCTTTATTGTAAAAACACAGTATATATAATGCATGTGGCATAGAAAATGTGTTAAAGGTGTGTTATTGCTAAGGCTTCCAGCCAATAGTAAAGTTTTGAGGGAGTCAAAAGTTACATGTGAATTTTTGACTGTGGTGGATTAATGCTCCCAACCCCTGCATTGCTCAGAGGTCAACTGTGTGTGTGTGTGTGTGTGTGTGTGTGTGTGTGTGTGTGTGTGTGTGTGTTACAAGAGATGTTAACCATGAATCCACAGAGTCATGATAACATTTTCCAAGGTGAAAACTGGAGAGCCAGCGTCTGAAAGGACACAGACCATGTGACAGCGTATTTGCTCCTAAACAAGAAGTCCCATTCGTGAAAGACCATATTTGTGGCCCTTGTTTCTGTGGCTTTTCACAGGAGTCAGTTCTGTGGTAGAACTGGGCACCCTACACTAAGTAAAACCTGAGTATAACTAGTGTTTGGACTTACCAAAATGGGTGGATCAGCCCTGAGACCCTAATTGTGCCCCCCTGAGGCCTTGTTTTTTCCCTAAATCATCCTGCAAGGAAATGAATTTTGTACTCATTTTTTATGAGCTAAGTCTGACACGTTCATTTAGTGCCTTTATGGGGAAAAGATGACTAGGGGGGAAAGGGGCTAACTGTTATTCCTGGTATAACCTGCTAAGAAGATGTCCAGAGGCACCAAAAATAAAACATTTCCTCTTCCTGCTGAGAGAGAATATTGTTGGGGTTTCAGTCCCGTCAAAGGTCATCCTGTAGTGGTGTGAGGGAGATCTTGTCACTTCTGGTTGACCTTACATTCATACTTCCTTGGACACAGATGGTCCGATGAGCCGTGTAGAGGTAAGTGTGGCATGGACCTAGCGGGAAGGGCTGATGAACAGCTGGTTGTGGGTAAGTGGACTGGAATTAGGGGAAGAGTGGGAGTGAGTAAGGAGAGAAGGTGGACAGGGGAAATGCCCAGTCAGTTGAGTGACTAGGACAAGTGGCAGGGAGACCTGGTGTGAGAGTAAATGGGCGGAGAGCAGGTCTTGGAATGTGGGCAGAGTAAATTGGAAGTAACATAAGGCAGAGTGGGAGTGGTAGTTACAAATAGGGCAGAAGAAAGAGCAGTCAGGCAGGTGGCAAAATAGTGCAGAGTGTCAGTGCAAAGAGGACGGGTGCTCATTGCTATGGCAAACCCTTGGAACGGGGTGGGCAGGGGCTGGAGGTGCACTGTGGTGAGTGATGGGCTCTACAAGTCAGGATCCAGCGATTCAGAATGCCCTGGTGTTGGCAATGAGGAGCTGGTCACCGGGTTTCTGTACCAGGAGGTGTGCCCCAAGGACCCCAGGGTGACCAGTTCTACAGGATGGGAGCAGCCTGCACTTAGAACACAGTGCCTCGTGTCCTGTTACTTATGTACCCTCGGGGAGAGGCCCCACCTGAAGTGTGTCCCTGACACCTCCCCCAAACCAGCTCTGTCATGCCCATGGGCCAGCCCTGATTCCTGCCCCTGTTATTTATCTCAGTTATTGTCTTACTGCGTAAGTCAAAATCTCTAAAATGATATTCACTATGATCCCTCTTCAACCTGTTCCCCGGGCCCTTGGGACTATGGAATCCTTAAGATCTGATTGCCCTATAACCCTCCAGGTCAGTCCTAGGCCCCAATATTTTAATCAATTATATTAGGAAAATTTCCAAACTTTAAATTATGATCCTGGCTCATTTTTTGGCACCTGGTAAATAGAAGAAAGTCCCCGATACAATGATAGACTCGAACATGCTACCAGACAAGGTATTCCAGAGGTCTCAGAATAGACAGGCTCATGGGCCAAAGTAAAATACTCAAGTTGTATGACCAGTTACATCAATTTAAAAACACAAAATACATATTTTTAAAACATGAAGAAAAGGGAAAGAGATGAAGCAAGTTAACACGGAGAGTTAACATATAGCCGTATTTTCCTAGGCATTATGTTACACAAAGCTCTCCTGTCTGTTGCATCAGCCTCCATGGTTCTGAGGACCAGCAGTGAGGATTGTGCAAGGGTTCCAGTCACAATGATGGTGCCCAGGGCCAATGACACACCTGCTTGCTCCGGCTATAGCTCACCGAATAGCCTGCACAGTCCGGGGTCTTATCTGTGAATGGGACAATACTGTCACCAATTAATGGCTGATTTAAGTAAAACAAAGACAAAAACTCATTCCTTTCTGTCTGTAAGTAACACTTGTTTTTCATCATGTGTTCCATTCTATTTATGTCTATTAGCCTACATACACAAGTATATTTCTATTTATATATGTCTGTATGTATGCTCACACATAGAGATCTATATATCCTACAAATTACAAACTACTTGCTAACGATACTTCACAAATGTAATCTGGGCCTCCCTGGTGGTGCAGGCATTAAAGACAGAACACTATCAAGCCATCACCAGCCACTGTGGCCTGAGTTCGATCCCCAGTCAGGGAGGTGACTCGTGAAAGAAAAAAGGAAAGGAAAAGGACGGACACCATGAGTCTGTTCACCAGGAAAGTCCCTGTCTTTATTTTTCACATCAAGCTTATATACATGAAAAGAGGGTTACTGTAACAAAAAAGGGCTACTGTGGCTTACAAAAGAACCTTTAAGCTGGGGTTTTTGGGTCTGTGCCCATGTACGGGGATGGAGACAGCCAGACCCTAGTCAAGGTCGCAGGCACCTCCTTATCAGCCTGAGGCCCAGGACCGCTAACTAAGCTAAACTGCTTTCCTTCAACCCGCATGGCGCAGCAGACCTCTCCTGTCTCACCCGCTGCTCCCCTCAGCAGTGTACTTCATCGATCTACCTGTTCTGCTCCCCACTCTTGTTTCTGGTGAGTCCTCTCACCCCTCCACACACACGCCTCTGGCCAGTACCCAAGTTCTTGTATGCATAAATAAATTAATCTTTGTAAAGAAAACCATGAATGCTGCCCATGTCTTCAGTGCACTTGCTTACTCATTGTCTGTACTTCAAATATTCTATGTGTTTTACTCATATTTGAGCTCCTAGCTTGCTTACTATGTAACATGAGTTTCCTCCATCACATTTGTTTTTGTGTCCTCTAGAGAACAAACAATAGGGAAAACTGAGTGTTTCTTTGAAAGGTAAAAGTGGGAAATACTACACTGATCAAGGAGAAAGGAAAACACAAATTTTCAAATCAGTAATAATACAGAGGCTATCACTATGGATCCTATAAATATAAAATGGATAGCAAGAGTTGACCATCTAGTCAATGCAGCTAATAAAGGAGAAAAATTATATAAAGATCTATATAAATGTGGAAAAAGATAAAACTCAATATCCATCTGTAATACAAGTTCTTAGCAAACTAGAAATAGGAGAAAACATCACCCTGGCTGGGGAGCTAACTCAGGCCACAGTGGGTAGTGATGGCTTGACAGTGTTGGGTCTTCAATGCCTGCACCACCAGGGAGGCCCAGATTACATAGGTGTAGTATAGTTAGCAAGTAGTTTGTAGGATATATAGATCTATATGTGTGAGCATAAAAACAGACATATATAAGTGGTGTTCAAAGAAAACCATAGCAAATTTAATAGTAGCTATTGTTACTATAGAAACAACATCACTGCTCCTGAGATTAGGAATGAGACAAGGATGTGTGCTAAACCCACTTCCATTCAACACTGTCCTGAAGACTTTAGTCAGTAAAGTAAAGCAAGAAAAAGAAATAATGATTGGGAAGTAATAAATAAAATGTACTATAGAGGAGATGTACACAGAAAATCCAAAGGAATCTATAGACAAATTATTAGAATTAATAAGTGAATTTAACAACAGATACCTAGAAAACAAAATACCATTGCTTTATTTTGAGGAACAGAGAACTGCTAGGGCCAGTGATTCTTGAAAGGAGTTTAAATTTGAGTGGGATGCCATCTGCTTGTAAAACAGGAGAAAACACTTGGAAGTCTTCTCACAAGGATGAGAAAAAAGAAGAAAAATCACAAAGTTAAGGCCAGAACTGTAATTGTCTGCATGCATAAGGAAAGGAATTGATGACCACCGGAAGTGAAAAGGCCAGGGAAGGAAAGAACGACCTAGAAAGGCTTATTCTCAGCTGAAGGAGCAGGGATCAACTCCTGAGGGCAGGAAGACAGGCAGGTTTGACTCTAAGCAAAGAACAGGGAAGATGTGGAGACATCACGTAATCTGAGTTGCTCACACCAAGGAGGCCTCCCTCTCCTTAAGGAAGATGGAAGCTTTGTAGATGTCATACAAAAGGACCCTCCTCCTCAGCAGCAGGGATCTTCTATCCTCCATCCCCCAGTTGTCACTCACCTGTGCAACTTCAGACTTTTCTCTCTGCCATCCAAGGATCTACTTTCTCAAACTTAAAGGTCAAGTCTGGTTTGTTAACAGTAGCCTGAAAGAAACATGCTGTAGG